GGGGTGTTCAGCGTCCATAATGAAAGGTGAAATGTCTGTGTATTGGGGGTGCAATACCCGACCTTACCACCAGGGGACCCCGGCACCTCAGCGGGGCGACTACCGGACATTTGTCTTTTGTGGGGTTTTTTAAAAGATAAAGATTTGTGGATCAGCCAATAGAGGGAGCTCTCCGTGCACTGACTCCGCCTACAACTGCTGAGATCAAATGTCGGCCACACAGGGAGAGCATTGTCCTCAGCAGGTCGGGTGACTCATAGACTTGTACTATGAGATGAAGCAGCACTGTGAAGCGGGGGCGGAGCATGTAATGAGGAGACATGGCTCCACCCATCTACAGATATATAGACCCCGTGTACGATATCACCCTATAGACCCCGTGTGCGATATCACCCTATAGACCCCGTGTGCGATATCACCCTATAGACCCCGTGTGCGATATCACCCTATAGACCCCGTGTGCGATATCACCCTATAGACCCCGTGTGCGATATCACCCTATAGACCCCGTGTGCGATATCACCCTATAGACCCCGTGTGCGATATCACCCTATAGACCCCGTGTGCGATATCACCCTATAGACCCCGTGTGCGATATCACCCTATAGACCCCGTGTGCGATATCACCCTATAGACCCCGTGTGCGATATCACCCTATAGACCCCGTGTGCGATATCACCCTATAGACCCCGTGTGCGATATCACCCTATAGACCCCGTGTGCGATATCACCCTATAGACCCCGTGTGCGATATCACCCTATAGACCCCGTGTGCGATATCACCCTATAGACCCCGTGTGCGATATCACCCTATAGACCCCGTGTGCGATATCACCCTATAGACCCCGTGTGCGATATCACCCTATAGACCCCGTGTGCGATATCACCCTATAGACCCCGTGTGCGATATCACCCTATAGACCCCGTGTGCGATATCACCCTATAGACCCCGTGTGCGATATCACCCTATAGACCCCGTGTGCGATATCACCCTATAGACCCCGTGTGCGATATCACCCTATAGACCCCGTGTGCGATATCACCCTATAGACCCCGTGTGCGATATCACCCTATAGACCCCGTGTGCGATATCACCCTATAGACCCCGTGTGCGATATCACCCTATAGACCCCGTGTGCGATATCACCCTATAGACCCCGTGTGCGATATCACCCTATAGACCCCGTGTGCGATATCACCCTATAGACCCCGTGTGCGATATCACCCTATAGACCCCGTGTGCGATATCACCCTATAGACCCCGTGTGCGATATCACCCTATAGACCCCGTGTGCGATATCACCCTATAGACCCCGTGTGCGATATCACCCTATAGACCCCGTGTGCGATATCACCCTATAGACCCCGTGTGCGATATCACCCTATAGACCCCGTGTGCGATATCACCCTATAGACCCCGTGTGCGATATCACCCTATAGACCCCGTGTGCGATATCACCCTATAGACCCCGTGTGCGATATCACCCTATAGACCCCGTGTGCGATATCACCCTATAGACCCCGTGTGCGATATCACCCTATAGACCCCGTGTGCGATATCACCCTATAGACCCCGTGTGCGATATCACCCTATAGACCCCGTGTGCGATATCACCCTATAGACCCCGTGTGCGATATCACCCTATAGACCCCGTGTGCGATATCACCCTATAGACCCCGTGTGCGATATCACCCTATAGACCCCGTGTGCGATATCACCCTATAGACCCCGTGTGCGATATCACCCTATAGACCCCGTGTGCGATATCACCCTATAGACCCCGTGTGCGATATCACCCTATAGACCCCGTGTGCGATATCACCCTATAGACCCCGTGTGCGATATCACCCTATAGACCCCGTGTGCGATATCACCCTATAGACCCCGTGTGCGATATCACCCTATAGACCCCGTGTGCGATATCACCCTATAGACCCCGTGTGCGATATCACCCTATAGACCCCGTGTGCGATATCACCCTATAGACCCCGTGTGCGATATCACCCTATAGACCCCGTGTGCGATATCACCCTATAGACCCCGTGTGCGATATCACCCTATAGACCCCGTGTGCGATATCACCCTATAGACCCCGTGTGCGATATCACCCTATAGACCCCGTGTGCGATATCACCCTATAGACCCCGTGTGCGATATCACCCTATAGACCCCGTGTGCGATATCACCCTATAGACCCCGTGTGCGATATCACCCTATAGACCCCGTGTGCGATATCACCCTATAGACCCCGTGTGCGATATCACCCTATAGACCCCGTGTGCGATATCACCCTATAGACCCCGTGTGCGATATCACCCTATAGACCCCGTGTGCGATATCACCCTATAGACCCCGTGTGCGATATCACCCTATAGACCCCGTGTGCGATATCACCCTATAGACCCCGTGTGCGATATCACCCTATAGACCCCGTGTGCGATATCACCCTATAGACCCCGTGTGCGATATCACCCTATAGACCCCGTGTGCGATATCACCCTATAGACCCCGTGTGCGATATCACCCTATAGACCCCGTGTGCGATATCACCCTATAGACCCCGTGTGCGATATCACCCTATAGACCCCGTGTGCGATATCACCCTATAGACCCCGTGTGCGATATCACCCTATAGACCCCGTGTGCGATATCACCCTATAGACCCCGTGTGCGATATCACCCTATAGACCCCGTGTGCGATATCACCCTATAGACCCCGTGTGCGATATCACCCTATAGACCCCGTGTGCGATATCACCCTATAGACCCCGTGTGCGATATCACCCTATAGACCCCGTGTGCGATATCACCCTATAGACCCCGTGTGCGATATCACCCTATAGACCCCGTGTGCGATATCACCCTATAGACCCCGTGTGCGATATCACCCTATAGACCCCGTGTGCGATATCACCCTATAGACCCCGTGTGCGATATCACCCTATAGACCCCGTGTGCGATATCACCCTATAGACCCCGTGTGCGATATCACCCTATAGACCCCGTGTGCGATATCACCCTATAGACCCCGTGTGCGATATCACCCTATAGACCCCGTGTGCGATATCACCCTATAGACCCCGTGTGCGATATCACCCTATAGACCCCGTGTGCGATATCACCCTATAGACCCCGTGTGCGATATCACCCTATAGACCCCGTGTGCGATATCACCCTATAGACCCCGTGTGCGATATCACCCTATAGACCCCGTGTGCGATATCACCCTATAGACCCCGTGTGCGATATCACCCTATAGACCCCGTGTGCGATATCACCCTATAGACCCCGTGTGCGATATCACCCTATAGACCCCGTGTGCGATATCACCCTATAGACCCCGTGTGCGATATCACCCTATAGACCCCGTGTGCGATATCACCCTATAGACCCCGTGTGCGATATCACCCTATAGACCCCGTGTGCGATATCACCCTATAGACCCCGTGTGCGATATCACCCTATAGACCCCGTGTGCGATATCACCCTATAGACCCCGTGTGCGATATCACCCTATAGACCCCGTGTGCGATATCACCCTATAGACCCCGTGTGCGATATCACCCTATAGACCCCGTGTGCGATATCACCCTATAGACCCCGTGTGCGATATCACCCTATAGACCCCGTGTGCGATATCACCCTATAGACCCCGTGTGCGATATCACCCTATAGACCCCGTGTGCGATATCACCCTATAGACCCCGTGTGCGATATCACCCTATAGACCCCGTGTGCGATATCACCCTATAGACCCCGTGTGCGATATCACCCTATAGACCCCGTGTGCGATATCACCCTATAGACCCCGTGTGCGATATCACCCTATAGACCCCGTGTGCGATATCACCCTATAGACCCCGTGTGCGATATCACCCTATAGACCCCGTGTGCGATATCACCCTATAGACCCCGTGTGCGATATCACCCTATAGACCCCGTGTGCGATATCACCCTATAGACCCCATGTACGATATCACCCTATAGACTCCGTGTACGATATCACCCTATAGACTCCATGTACGATATTACCCTATAGACTCCATGTACGATATTACCCTATAGACCCCGTGTATGATATCACCCTATAGACCCCGTGTGCGATATCACCCTATAGACCCCGTGTACGATATCACCCTATAGACCCCGTGTGCGATATCACCCTATAGACCCCGTGTGCGATATCACCCTATAGACCCCGTGTACGATATCACCTGATATCCCCCTAGAGCCTCCGTGTATGATATCCCCCTATAGACTCCGTGTACGATATCACCCTATAGACTCCGTGTACGATATCACCCTATAGACTCCGTGTTTCCTGCTCTGACCCCTATGTCTCTCCGCAGCCGCCCAGAAGTGGCCGGTCCCCCCCCATGGAGCTGACATGGACTCACCTGGTGCTGGTCCTTTCCTTCCTCTTCTCCGTTGCCATGACAGCATGCTTCATCTGGCAGTACAAGCTGCCCAAACTGGAGGCCGGTGAGTGGCGGGGGCATTCCATGTATGGGATGAGCGGGTTTCCTGCCCCCTCTGTGGGTGGTAATTAAGTGGCCGGGGGTGGGGGGGGGCATT